TACTACTACTACTACTACTGCTGTACGACCGCTAGCACTACCAGTGCGACTGCTACCTCTGCCACTACCACTGACATTGCTACTACCACCACCATGACCACTCCCACTGCCACTACCACTGCCACTACCACGACCACAGCCACGACCACGGCCACGACCACCACCACTACCACTACTTCTATACGAGTACCACTACCGCTACCACTACCACAACGACAACGACAACGACTTCCTCCTCCTCCTCCTCCTACTTCTACTTTACTTCGATTTCCACTTCGACTACGACGACGACTACGAGAACGACTGCTATGACTGCGACTACGACTGTGACGACGACGACTACTACTACGACGACCACCACGACGACGACCTACCCACACTTCCACCGGTTCGAATTGAGGTGGAAGAAGATGCCCAGTCTGGGAGGTCTTTTGAGGTAGCAGCAAAAGAGCAGCTAGCAGTCCAAGCCCAGCCCTATGTACCCCTCACGCTACTAGGATCACCTCAAGTCAAGTCCAAAATGCCCACCATGCCATGGAGGCGGGAACACAAGGGATGGCGGCAGCACGATTGCCCGTCTTTGACAATACCAAGCCTCCTCGTAGACTCCGGAAACGACGCAAACGAGACCCGAGGAACAGAATTTTCGCGGGAGCACGATGTCTACACCAAAAGGGGCCCAAGACACGCACTGCGGTCTATTCAACCAACCACGTGTGCAACTTGACAACGAACGCCGCGTCCGCCACACAATTACCACACTCGGGGAACCTTGGTGCCCGGTTGAATCGACGTTTAGGCACGTCTAGAAGTTTCACTGAATGCACTGAGCAATCATTCCTTTGTGTTCGCATCCAACATGGGTAATGATGTTTCAGCGGGGTCCAGCCAGGAAGACGTATTGCAAACAACCGACTTCCTCACTTTACAACAAGCCCTGAGCCCAGCCTACATCCATAGTTTCTCTCCAACGCCAAGGGCCTGGTAATCGAACCCAAGCGCAGCAGAGCTACCGCCCAAAGCCAGTTCCTGGCCCGTTCGTTGCAAACCCTAAACCCTAAACCCTAAACCCTAAACCCTAAACCCCAGGAGAGAAAATCCAGTCACTGGGTTTCGCCGTGGGGATTCGGCCTTGAACATGTGCCTCTTTCACAAACACAACGATGCTTGTCGTACGCCGCTGGGATGCAGGGCAACTGGCAGGGCTGAGATGAACTGTCTCCCCCTGCGACTTCTGGTGGTTTTGAGTTTTGAGGCCTAAACCCTACACCCGAAACTCTAAATCCTAAACCCTAAGCCCTAAACCCTAAACCATAGGTCCTAAACTCTCCTGGATTGTCCAAACCCTTGTAGAGCCTTCTAAAGTTTCTAAGCTCGAGCTCAGGCTCCTCGCCGGCCGGGCAAGGGTGGACGACTCCTTCCGAGGCCCCCTAGTTTAGGGGTTTAGGATTCAGGGCTTTAGGGTTTAGGGTTCAGGGTTTAGGGTGTAGGGTTTCGGGTTGAGGATTCAGGGCTTTAGGGTTTAGGGTTCAGGGCTTTAGGTTCAGAGTTGAGGGTTTAGGGTTTAGTTTTCAGCTGGGTGTTGCTTAGGAATCTTGGTTCATGCGTGCTATACTATGGAAGTTCAAGCGGTGATTGAAAGTACATGGGCATGAGCATGACTTTCTGTATGACTGATTCTCTTCTTGGCCCTTACAGTAAGTCCCTTTGATAAGAGCCAAGCAGCAGACGACGTTGCCTTCACCATCAATAGCAGCATGATCACTCTGCTGGTCGTCATCATTATCATCATCTTCTTCTTCTTCAACCGCAGCAGGAGAGTGTCCAGCTAGCGTGCTCTCAGGGGTAGACGTGTGCTACCCTCGGCCACTTCAAGTGGCTTCAGCACGAGTGCCCGTGGGCAGGATAGCTATGCGTCGAGACGCCGTAGTAAAAGAGCAGTTAAACAAGTAACAGTCACTCTACTCATCAAGTTCATCCAGAAAGTGTGTCTTTCGCGCTTCCGCCTGGGTCGCTCCCATGATCAAAAGCTGCGCCTGGAGCTCCGCTTTTTGCAGTGTGCAAAGATGGAGCTTGTGGTTCACCTGGAAGAGCTGATTGTGCAATTTGTCCAGTCGGCGGCATAGGTTGGTGATGTCCCCAGCCATCACATTGATTTGCCCCTAATGGTAGGCTGTTTGCATCTGCAGTCTCCTCTCGGTCACCATTGCACACATTGGATGAGCTGCTGGCTGTAGAAGCCTGGTCAAAACTGAGCCTTGAAGAGTGCCAGTGACGAGAACCGTTCGTTCTAATCAGCAGCAAGACATATGCATGTGTTTCAGCATGTGCGAGCTGTGCAGAGTCAGCCGGTGCGGCTTTTTTGTCATCATCGAGATGCCAGTATTCCCTATCCCCTCTCACCAGTGTGGTGTAGTGACCTCCAGTTAGGCGCGGTCCATGATGCACGATGCATGCTGCGTGGGTATAGTGTACCCAGTTGACCCCTAAGGTTGCAGCCCCCTGAAAGACAGGCAGCTGCAGCTGGTCAGGAAGCACCAGGCGATCAAAGCATTTTCCTGGCACACCGCGTTTTAAGACGCTTCGAGGTAGCTGAAGAAAGAGCCATGGCGCCTGCCCCTCCAGAGCGTATCTGGAAGGATAGTCCGTAGCCTGTACAGACCATTGGTTGATCAGCTGTTGCACACTGGATCCCTGTGGCACGAAGTTGTGAAGAGAAAGGCACTGGCCTAGGTTGCCCTCGTCTGTGCACTGAAGCTGACCTTCGATCATCGAACTCTCGTACCATCGGAGTTGCAGTCTCAGCGGATCTAGTCTGGGAACCAGGAAGTCAAGGAATTCACTGACGTCGTGCTGAGAGTTGGGCTGCTGCCACCCCAAAAGTTTCATCCCCAGTAGTTGCTTGGCCTTCAAGCCTTCGTTCACCCTGGCATGAAAGGCAGCTGGCAGAATAGTGCGTCCAGTGCTGGCTTCAAGAGTGGCTAGGCAATATACGCCCGCATTAATGTAGCAGAAGTTGCCGGGGTTCTTGAGGAGGAATTTGGGAAGGTGCAACTGGGAGGCATCGGCTTGTGATATTTGCATGGGGCTTTCGGGCATGTGAAGGTCAGGCGTGATTAGTGGTTGGGGGTCCTTAGGGTCCTTAGGGTAGATTTTGAGCGGGGCTTGTCAAGGAGGCGGCTTAGGGGGGAGCTGCTCGGATTTATCCTTGGCCCTAAAATACCGTTGTATAGTAGAACCAGCAGGACCCTCTGCATCAACAGGGCGGCGCGACTTCGGTAGATTTCCTGAGCCAGCATCTTGGCAAGATGCTGCTGGGGGATGTCGTCCCTTTTCATGGACATGCCCACTAGGCCCGTCAGGGCGTTTCCCTGCAGCGTTCCAAAACCACTGTGCACATCGTCCGCCGAGAGGTGCCTCAACGAGATGATCAACGAGAATGTTGCCTGTTGGTGGCCCTCGTCCTCGATGCGGTAGAGGGATTGCGTCGACTGAAATCGATGCACAATTTCCCCGCTCATCTGACTCTGAAGCTCCGTGATCGTGCGGATGGCGTTCTCGTGGGTGAGTGGCTCCCTCCTTGTGTCCGGAAGCAGCCGTCGCTGTTGGGCATTCCACCTCATGTAGTTCCAGTGCCCCTCCTTTGTCATCCACTGTGCTTGCTGAAGGCTGGCCCGCGATCTGTGCCCTTTGAAGAAGCTCCTTCAGGAGACAATTCAGAAGGAGCGTCCGGAGTGGAGATTGCACTTCCGTAGAGCCTGCTTCCTGCTTCTCCCGATTGACACGAGCAACTTCCATGAGAGCAGGCAAGACACTTCTTTCGTCCTGCCTGAAGAAAAGCATATATCCCATGTCTTTGCGGAGATTGGCCAGGAAGGCTTCGTGCTTGAGGAGCAGTTTCCCCATCATTTGGACCGTCGGGTCCTGCATGGTAGCTCTGCGGATGGTGCGGATGAGGCTGTGGGTGCGTCCGCCCGTGCCTGCGTGTCACCGGCCACTGCTGGCGTTGACGCTTCTGACCTGACTGCTGGGCCTCCGATGACTCTTCCGCCTTGATCACTCCCGATGCCGGCCTCTGGCCAAATGGCATGCAGTGCTTGAAGATCTCGGCCTCCATCGCAGCTTGGGTCATTCTTAGGTAGTATTGTTAGGGGTACCCCTTAAAGGGTACCCCTTCTGAACCCTACCTCTTAAAAGGGACCTTATTCAGAGGGTCTATATCCCCAAGGGTCCCCCTAATCCTAGCTCCCAATTCTGCTTCGCCTGGTGTAGCTTGTTGCGACAGTAGCAAACAGCTAGGGCAAGGTTGTTGAGGACAACACACTGAGTAGAGTGTCGGCCCGGGGCGCCGGCCTTGTGTCCACACCAGCGACACGTGTGGCCCCTAGTGAGGTGGCTCTTGTACGTTCGACTCAGTGCTAGGGCCTCATCAAGAAGCTCGGCATGCTGTGGATGATGTTCCTTGTTGTAGTGCTGTCGGATGTGTCTATAGTCCATGATCCACATGTTGCATACGACACAGTGCTGTTTGAGTCGAGCCTTGGTGTCAGGGCACGTTAGGAGTTTGTCCCAGCCGGCGAGCACTGCATGAAAGGTCGGCTCAAGCACAAGCGGAAGGGCATCAGGGAAATTTTCTGGCTGCGCGGCATCCATTGACAGCTCCGCAGTCGGGATCTTGGCAGCATTCTGTTGCCTGAGAAGATGATTGTCCGCAGCAGGCGAATGTAGCACAAAACTCTGGCCCCCAAGGTGCGGACATGAGCCTTTCTCCACGTGGAGCTTCAGCTGCCTCCACTTGGTAAAGTTGCGAAGACACAGTTTGCATGTCGGCATTCCGCCGATGGAGTGAACTTCAGCCTTACAAATGTAGCTCTGCTTGGCCAGCTTGGCCGATCCTGGTGGTGGAGGGCCATGTGTATGCTGAGAGCATGCGTGGAGTCAAGCATCTTATCACAATGCGGGCATTGGCAGCCTTCTGTGCTCTGCGCCATGACGGGTTCAGACGGGGCCTGGGACAGAGTGGCTGTCATAGCCTCAAGGAGGGAGCAAAGGCGAGAGTGCACCTGATCGTTGACCACGATGTCCGGCCCTTCCCAGGCCTGTGCAGGGTCACGTTTCTGGCATAGGTGGGTGAGGCGCTGGAGTATGTTCTGGCCCGGAGTGCTAGTCCTTGCTGCTTGCCAGAGGTCTGCATTCGACACATGCGTGATATGGGCAGGCTGTTTCATGATAGCTCTGATGTGCCTGGTGGCCATCGTTTGCACTTGCTTGGCCCCCGTTGTAGTGAGGCCCACGACCTCGAGCGAGTAAATGAGGCTTGTGCAAAGGCACGCAGCCCAGAGGCGCAGCTTGTGTGCAACAGCTAGCGGACCCCGACCATTAAGGACCCTCTTGATCAGCCTGTATTTGTGTTGGGCCGATTCAATGCGGTGGGTTGTGTTGAGATCAAGTCTGTTACGGTATGCAATCTTCGACCCAAGGTAGTCATGCGATGTTCTGATCTGAAGTGATTGCTCTTGACCAAACACCGTAATTTTAAGATATTGCTGGCCTTCCTTGTGGTAGGTGTGTTCACGAAGGACTGGCTGTGCATCTTTTCCTTCAAGTCTAAGAAGAAAAGCAGTTTTCTTATAGTTGACTTTCAACTGAAAGATCGCAAGTGTTTCCAAAAAGAGCTCAACATCCCGCAAGACCTGTGTGAAATTTGTTTTGCTGGTGATGGTCCAACATGCAGCCATGTCGTCGGCGAACCAGGTTATGATCCGTTGAACCCAGGCCAAGTCTCTTTGCCCTATGAGCCCTTGCATAAGGGAAATGCTGAAGCAAACCCAAAGAATCGGTGCCACGCGGCAGCCTTGTTTGATGCCATTGGATGTAGTGACGCTGCCTTTGTGTGATCTGATGTCGAAGTGGTAGCAGGCTTGCTTGTGCAGTTGCTGTATGGCAGCAATGA